TAAGTTGGAAGCAGCTGGTATCCGAGCTACTCTTCTATGTGGATGATGTGCACTGTGAAAACACACCATTTATTTTTGGTCTTACACCTTCTTTGCTTCATAGACTCCGTCCATTTGTTTGGATCATTTATTTTTCCTCCTGGGATGCCTTATGACCTGCTTGCCTCAGTTAGTGTGCATGCATGGGTTGCCTGCCTCTGATCGTGCCCCCCCCCTATTTTTTTTTTTTTTTTTGAAAGCCAGGGATCTCCTGTTCTGGTCATGTTATATGACCAATATACACCTTACCTTCAAGCAAGCATGACTCTACTAATCCCTCCTCTGATCCCTGCCCTTGTCGCCTGTCTCTGTCTTTCATTGAATCACATCCAAGCGCTTTTCATTGGGTTCTTCTTCTCTGGCAGGGTGGTAGCTCTGTGAGGCGCTAGGTTACTGAGCGTCTTACTTTTCCCCCTTAATCCACAACTTCTAAATAAAGCCGAGGGAGAAACGTAGCCTTCATAATCGGGGGTTTGCCGATGGGCTTCGCAGAGACTTCTAAAGACGTGGATTTCATTCATTCACCTCTCCCTCATTTCACGTGTCCATGAGTCCATGTGTTGGGTTGAAGTCTGGGACCCTGAAAATTTCATTCTGCTTTCAAAGACGTCATGCGGTCTTCCTCAAGTCTCACATGCAGCATGTGCCAAAGGAAACAACTTTTTTTTCTTTTTTCGTTTAAGGAGAAGTCATATCTGTATAGTGAGCACTGTTGGATCCAGAAAAGGGAGGAAAGGTGACCGGGGCTTTTGCAAAGTCTGCACCCACGAGCTTAGTTCCTCCTGCCTTCTGACTTCTAGTTGAATGCCAACGTGTGGATGCTGAGTTGTTTTTGCCTGTCACATCCTCCTGCATGTGGGAACTATTACAACAAGTTGCATGTGTGACTCTTGGAGGGTTTGGCACACCGACTGGAATGAAGATGAAATGTTCCCCTGTCAATGCTATTTACGCTCCTGATGGTATCTGTGCAATCACGCCGGTTACAGATTCGCTGTTTCAAGCCGTTTAGCTTCTTTACACCCGAGCTCCTTTGAAAAAAGGCTCCCTCCCTTATGACGCTGAGATGCTAGCGTTGCTGCTGCCTCCCATGAAAGCATTTTTAGTTTCTCATTTGCATGCCCCGTGACATTTTGCTACTTTGTTTATCTGAAATAAAGAAGTTCATCCCGGTGGTGCCGTGTGGCCGTGGTTCAGTCGGTGTCGTGCACTCGCTGACAAAGTTGCTGCTATCTTTTTTTTTTTTTTTTTTTTTGTCCCGCCTGCAGGGGTCCATCATTAGCAGTCCACACACACGCCGGAGAGACGCCGCGCCACGCGACGCCGGCCCACGCGACGCCGCGCCCCACCGCGGCCATCCCGCCGTCCCCAACTCGGCCCCCACCTCCATCCTCGGGTCGCTCTTCGGCAGCAAGCGAGGCAAGCCGTCATCCCAGGGCCACTCCCCTTTCCCCGCCCCCGCCCAGCCCACCCTCATATCCCACAAGCCCCACCCGACCAACCTGCACCACACGGCGCAGGTGGCGCACACGGTGCAACTCCACGGCCACCACTCGCAGTACTGCCCCACGGCCCCGCAGAACCCGCCGCCCTACCACCACCACCACCACTACCACCCGCCCCCCCACGCGCAGTACCACCAGCACCCGGGCCACGCCCCCCACGCGCACCAACAGCCCCATTCGCAGGCCGGCCACTACAGCCAGCATTCCCACCACGCCCAGCACGCCGCGCACCACCACGGCCAGCAAGCGGGCTCGGCCCCCGGCGGACCCAAACCCAAACACAGTGGCATCAGCACCGTAGTGTGACGCTCCGAGCGCAGGGAGGAGGAAGCGAGGGGCGGGGACTTGCTCACACCAAAGGGACTGACAGCATGACTTTACGGCCTGTCCACTGTGTTTTACCGCCGCTGTGACGGGAGCCAATCACACGCGACCAATGTGCAGGATGGAAATCGGACTCGGTAGTTCCACCAGGGGGCCTTTACTAGTTTGCCTGATCACGGGCGTGGCCCGATCGGGAGGCGGGGGGGGCGGGGGGTTCTCTACAAGAAGATGCTCTGTTTCCACCCACACACACACACGCAACCACACACACACACACACACACACATCGCCCGGCCGTGACGGCTTCAGAGCTGGCGCGTCCTCTCACCGATGCCGCCCCCTACCGCTTCGTCCCTACAGTAGCCCGTCTCACCTTCGCATAATCGAGACGAGAGACGAGAAAAACGGACGGGCGGTCGTACTTCCTCCAGCAGCAGTCGACCCGCTGGTTTGCGGACCCTTCATTCAGACCGTCACGTGAAGGCAATATTGCCGTAGAGCTCATGTGTAGTGAAGGACGCGATCAGTCGAACACCCCGAGTCGACCGTCTCAGTCATCGTAGTTCTAGCGCTGTATTTACTGTAGACGACAGCTGTATTTGTTGTCTCCTAGCTCTCATAAATAAATGTGCCAATTATTAATACATAATCTATTTAGTCAAAACTTCATGTACAGTATATTGTGCGTAAAGTCATTTGTAAGAATATACTTACAATTATTATCAGCAAAAATGAATCTTCTCAGTGTTATACTGACTGCGTGGTGACAGGATGTAGATCTGAAAGGAGTGAACTCACGTTCGGTCCGGCCGATAATCTATTCTGGATTTTTTTTTTGCCTTTCGAAAGGAGCGTCTGGACGGCAGCTGTTGCATTCGGGGCCTCAAAGGGCCGCGGGCGGCGGCGTCGTCGTCGCCGCCGAGGCCCCGAAACAGACTTTTCCTGTCGACTCCCGCGGGTGATGAACTGGACCGGTTGGTTGCTTTCAATCTGGGTTTACTTCTCACACCGTGGCTGCTTAAACCGGAAAGAAGTCATGAAGGTTGAGGGCGAAAAGACATTTTAAATGCACTTTGAGGCTTCGGCGCGAATGTTTCGAATGAACCCACGGCACGCGTTGAACACGTCAAAGTCTGTTGCCTTGAAACGTGCGACAGCTGCTCTCTGGACTCTTTAAGTCAAAAACAGAAACACTTTTGAATTATTTTGCCTTCTTTAGTATATTTCTTTTATTCGCCAACAAGGTGAGTGAATAAAATTAAAATCCAGTATTTTTTTTCCCATCCCTTTTTCTATGATATGTGCAATATCTTTGTTCTGATTTTGTACATTAACAGCAAGCAAAGTGTCCCTCCAATTTGTGCGTTTCCTTTTTTTGCGTCATGTTGCGTCAATATTTATTTATTTTTGTTTCTGACCCGTGTCTAAGTCCTTCTTGGTAAATTAATGTGTGGCTGTCCTCGTGGTCTCTTCGGAGACACCGACTTGGAGTTGAGTGGAATGTCTAGTAAGTGATTTTTTGCATGTAATGTTATAATGTGAGGCTATCCTCTGCACATTGTATAACAAATCAGTGTTACCATAGCAAGTTTAAGTGCAATCATGTTCTGAAGAATGCAGACTTGTACTATGAGTGGACGTCTGTTGTTGTCCAGGACGGGATTCAGGTGAAGAAATATATATCCTTTTTTCATTTAAGAATATATAAATACTTACTTACACAGTTTACGGTGGAAAGAGGAATGTGTGTATATATATTTTAATAAAAGGAAAATGCTTCTCTTTGGGCTGAACAAAAATATTTTGCTGGATAAGCACATATGAAAGAACACTTTCATTTTCTTCAGGAAATGCAGGTATGATCTACAAAATGCAAACTGAACAAAGGAACTGGGTATATATGTAAAGAAGAACTTTCTACATTCTACAAATAAGAGTCTATTCTAGTGTGTAAATTAGTGACAGTGAACTGTTTGTCCCAATATTCAGGTTGTAAATGTATTTTAACATTCACAAGGAAAACCATCGCCGTAAGTCAGGCTTATTCTCACACATTTCAAGGGAGTTACCGTGGAAACAACAGGTGAGACATATCACATATCGGAAATCAAAGATCAGTTGAATGTGTCTATTTTCTTTCTTTCTTTTTGGGTGTAATCTTTGGGTGATGTAAAACCCAGATTAACTTTTTGATGTGTGTTGTAGTGCTTCAAATGTCTGCAGTCCGTCTTTGTGAGAAAGAACCCCAACGATGCACTGCATGGATCATCATGTGTCCTATTCACTGTGAGCTGATGGGCGGGGGAGTCAAAAGAAATCAGCATATGCATTTTGGTTTTGATTCATTTTGAATTTCCTCTTGTTGCCCTACGTTAGGCTGGTAGTTATTGAAGCTCAGCATGCATTTCATCAACAAAGCCATCGTGTAAATGACAAACAGAGATCGGTTGCTGAGGGCTTTTCATGGTGTAAATATGGGATGTTGGCGTGCAGAGAGACGAACTGCTCGGAAGGTCGGTTTATCTTCATGAAGCCCTGAAGGGACCAAGAGAGAGACCAACGGCTTAAAGCAGCTGTACATAATGTGTATATGATCAGAACTATATTCTGATACCTGCAGTTGATCTATGAACATATCGATTGTCTGAAATCTGCCGTAGGAATAAAAAAACAGACTGTTAGAAAGTTCGCTGCCATTTACATCTAGCTCTTTTTTTTCCATACATGCACCCCCTCCCCACCCCCCCCCCCGTAAACACACGCAGACAGAACTACACACTTCCTGCTGCAAGCTGTTCAGTCTGGAGTTGGACACATTTTAAAAAGAGGAAAATACAAGAACGGCCTCGTTTATATGTGCATTCTGTTTGTACAGTGAGTAGTGAGTCAGTAAGAACCCAGTTATTGTAAAACTTCCAACTGTGACGATGTTGAGAACGCAAAATAAACAAATATATGACTTATGGTAAGCATGTTGTTGTTTTTCCTCTACAGATTATATAAAGTACCAAAAATAAAATCTCTCATCGAGTCGGCTGTCAGTGTGAAACAAATGGGAGATAAATGTTTCCTCCTCTTGGGAATAATGGATTTTACATTAGTGCCTTATCTTTATTCTCCCATATCTTCCACTTGCAGGCTCCAGCATTACTTTCCGTTACTCAGTGCTGCAGCATTTCCACCAGAGGGCATGCATTGAAGAGCTATAAAACTCAAATCCGTGCCATTACACCATCCACGGGTGAAAAGTAGTACCTGCCTCGCAGTTCCTCGTAGAAACAGACAGAAAGAAAATGATGTTTATACTCTCAGCTCTCAGATTTAAAGCGCTTCTCTGAAGCTGTGGAAGTGCGGCATGTTTTTTCTCCGTTGTTTGTCCAGTCTGCTTTGCAGCTCAGGATGTCTGTGCACCCCACACAGGCGGAGGCCGAGTCCTTTTGCTGCATCTAGTTCCTTTTCTCCTCCCCCCCCCCTTTACAGCCTGTTCAAATAAAGCTGGAAAATAACCCCAAAACTATTCTAAAAAACGCTTGCTCTTTAGCCTAAAGACAATTCAGTAGTTCAAAGCTTTCAACGTATACATTTCAATCCAGATAGAAGTGTACATGCTCCCAGCTGTATGTTGCAGTTGCCCCCGTTCCCTGTGCAGTATGCGTGTTATAATAAATAGTCTAGGAGGGTATCTGACTGTCACTAATAGATAAGCTCCTATCTCCTCTGAGCAGATGGATTCGAAGTCGAGTGCAGCAGAACAGAGGCGCGTTAGTGGTGCGTTGCTCACGCTGACGTGGCTCCGCGAGCGAGATTATTCAACAACGCGTGGCTTACAAAGTGGGGATACCCCGAGACGGAGGCAATGTTGGAATACTCTTAATCTACAAAGCAATATTGGACGTGACGGTGAACGTATAATTAAATGTTAAGGATGACTGGCACCACAGGAAGTAACTTCCGAGCTGGATTGACTTCAAAAGGTTTGTATTCTATATTTTTAAAGGTTTGCTTTATTTATCATAAGGATCCACAGAAATGTTACCTATCTTTCAGCTCATGGGTGTATTTAGCATGACAGATCAAGATTGTATATCATTCTTGTTCTAATCCACGTTCAAAGACACTGTCTGCTTTTGGAAATATCCAATGTAACTTGCTGAGTGCTGCCCTGTAAGCACCCTCCTGTTCCAGTTTGTTGTGTAAACAGGAAGTGACATTAAAAGGAATGACCTTTCCCTCAGGATGCCCTGCGGTTTAAGCTTAGCCGTCTTCCTCGTCTGGGCCGCGTTCCACCAACACACCGCCGGTCAACCCTGCCTGTGCTCAGGCCTCCGGCCTGCAGGTCTGCAGGTCAACTGCAGCTCTTTAAACCTCGCTGACCTCCCTCACCTGCCGCCGGACACCACGGAGCTCCACGTGCGGGACAACCGGCTCACGTCGGTGTCTCCGGGCCTCTTCGACCGACTGGTGGTCCTGAAGAAGGTCTCGCTGTCCGGGAATCCGTTCCACTGCGACTGCGGGATCCAATACCTGAGGAACTGGCTGCTGAAGAACAAGGCCCTCGTCACCACGGAGCCCACCTGCGCCAGTCCGGGCTCCGTGGCCCGGAGGGCCGTCGCCGACCTCGGCGACGGCCACTTCGCCTCCTGTGCGCTGGCGGGCTGCGCTGGCGGGACGTACAGCACTGTGGTGGGGGGGATGGTGTGCTGCCTGGTTGTTCTGCTCCTGTGGAGCTTGAGACTAGCCAAGAGAACTACGTTCACGCTGGAGATACACGAGAGACATTCGGGCTTCGAGGCCGACTCCCTGCGCTCGCTGCCCAGGCACCGGAGGAGGCTGCGCACGGAGCACACAGAGGTCACCATGGAGTCTGCAGAGGGCTTAGAAGAGCAGCTTGTCCACGTGGAGTTACTGCCACAAGTGCTGGACGCGCACAAGAAGCACAATATAAAGATAAAGGCAAACTAAGCGACCTGCTGCAGTGGAATTACAACAACACTACAGGTGGAAAAGTACATCAAGTAATAAAGTTCATCGGCTAAAGTCATGTTAGCTTATGTTAGCTCATGTTAGCTTATGTTAATCTGTGAAATGTAATTCATTTCATTCATTTAATGTAACATACAGATACATTGACATTAGAAAATATAAGAGGCTATGCAAGGTGTTGGTACGATATCCAAACAATAATATTTAACTGGACTGGCTAAAAACTCAATTCAAGACATTTTAAAATCCTCACAAAGTTGAAGTGGCTGTTTTGACATTTAATATTCATACTGATACATTAATGTAATTTAATTGGACAAAAATATTTAAAATATCCAGATTAAAAAAATGTTCCTATTGAATATTCTCATTCAAAGGTTTTTTGATCCAGAATTTCCATTCTGTAGGAAGTAGGAATTTTACTTTAATTATTGTTATAGTTATGCAAAACATTAAACAAAACTTCAGTAAAACCAAAAATCAACTAATAACGTATTCCCCTCATATTTAAGGGGCATTTGTTTAACTTTAAATGACACAGGTAACATATGTCGTATGACCATATCAAACATACAATAATATGTCGATATTTTTACATTTTGTAAAATATTGTTTTGAGAACCGGAAGTCATTCACGCGTCAGTCCAATTTCTTATTTCCGAGCAAAGCAGCTCCTACCGGCTGTTACGCGAAGACCGCGTGACGTCACGCGTAGAGTCGGCGCATGCGCAGTGTAACCGGGGGTTGTGTAGCTGGAGGGAGACAGCCACACTGCAGACATGTGCTAGAAATAAAGGGATTGTGTCCTAAATTATGATATAATCACTCTTCTAGAAATGTCCCACCATGCCATGCCTTCATAATATATGTAATAGTAGTGAGTCTTATGTGAAAAAGAAATCTGTACTAGTGTATATATAACAAATATCTTAACATGGTATGCCTTGAAAATATAGTTTTTATTTAACTAAATTGCTTTGACAGTTTTAGCAATGAAACCATGGCAACGGTATACACAAGGATGTGATGGCAGCTAGTTGCTACGATTATGCACGTAGTCTCAATCGTCCACTTGTTTGCAACCGCCTTTCTTGAAATGTGCAAAAGCTTCAAAAATCATGATATGGGTAGTGGCCTCTTTATATCATAGAACAATATGAAACAATTCACTTCTGCCTACGTTATGCATAAAACCTCCACAAAAAACATAGACTTTAATTCAGTGGGGAACCAGAAGGGCTCAATAATAATTTCCAGGGTTTAGGATTATTTGCTGCAGCACTACATTTCTCTGCCTCCGCCTACACTGTGCCGACAAAAATACTACCAGAAAAAGGCTCTATTAGAGAATCCTTCGCTGATCAGGCCTGGATAGTTTTTCCTTAAAAAATAAAAACACACAGTTTGCATGTTTAAACCGTTCCTTCTTTTTCTGACAGTTACTTACAATGAGAAAATCACCACCAATGATGAAAGTATGCATCGATAGGTTTTTGATTGCCATTACACGTCTACATATATTTTAATTCTGCAATTCAAATCTAAAAGCTTAAAAATGAATTTCTACATCGCGATGAACAAGTTATGGCGAGAAGATATGGTAACATTTAACAAAGTCTGAGATCTGTGCAGATATTCATGGCTCTCACAACAGACGGATAGAACTAACTATTAGAGGGCGACGGGCTTTCTGCACATCAAACTCTTCTTTTCACAGCACGCATTACTTTGATGCATTACTCTCATAGTCATGCATAGATTTTCCAGGATAAATGGGTTAACAAAAGTTGCAATAATAAAAAGTCACGTTGAGAATATGCTTCTTAAAAACACTGTTGACCCGCGACCCGACCCCGGATAAGCGGTTGAAGATGGATGGATGGATGGATGGAAAACACTGTTAAATTCTTGTAATAAATATATGATGGTTTTAGGATTAGAAATGATCAAAAAGATTACTATTGTCTAAAAAAAATACTTAGTTGGGTCAAATAAGGCAGTTCCTTAAATCACAAAAACGGTTGATGGTAACGGTTACATGACTCATCCTCCCATAATTTGTAACAACAACGTCCACAGTGTTTGGCCCCCCCACAGGTGTACGCATTAATCCCCCCCCCCCCCACCTGCTCTTTAGGAACCTGCCGGCTCGCCTCTACTGAGGCCCGAACTTCTCCTGCTCAAAGATGCGCTGGACGGCCTCGGCCACATCCTGCACGATGTGGTCCGGCTCCACCAGCGCCGGGTCAAACCGGAAGTCCCGGTGCCCGTGGAACACGGTCTCTTTGATGCAGTGGCTGGCGTCGGGCGGCACCTCCACGTTGGGGTTGTAGACGCCCGTGCAGACCAGGACCGACTTGCAGGAGGTGGCGGAGGGCAGCGCCAGCTCGCTCTCCCACAGATTGTCGCCCTCCTCCTCCCGGGGCACCGCGGCGCCGGAGCCCGCGCCGGACGCCATCTGGGCCACGGCTTTGGGGTTCTTCCTGGCCACCCTCTCCTCCAGGTAGCGGTTGTATAGATTGGCGCCGTAGATGTCGGTCATGAGGTTGTCCCTTGAAGAGAGCGGAAGGGGGGGTTAATCGAGCAAAAGCCGCGGAGGAAGAGCACAGGTGGAAATAATGAAGGGAGCGATGGCTGGATTCCAGTGCAACAAGGTATTTGAGGTTTGCTTTGGACCACTTATTGAAACACAAGGAAGCGCTGAGTGCTAATAAACGGCAAACAACTACTTATTTGGAGCTCGGGGAAGGTGGGGGATGAGTAACACCTGTGCTTTTCATACGCATCGCAGTGACCACTGTGAAAAAACAGGCAATCAGCAAAAAAACAAGCAGAGCAACAATCGTGGGAACAGGCTGCTGCTCTGAGAGGAAGATGTGATACGTTCCCTACAGACCAGTTGTTTTCATATATCTTCTTTTTCACCAAATAATTGCGGAACTGCTAAATAGTGATAAGAAATGGGAACAAATAAAAGTGTCACGGTTTCCTCAACGCGAACCTCTTTTCGTTACTTGCATGCATCTTCATCAGACTGCGTCACAGGTTGCTGCTCGATCTCATGTCTCCCGTAGTTCATTCCACATACTTGTACACATACAAACGCGGCGTCTCACCCGATAGCATAAAGGGAAGTGACGGGAAGCTCCCATTGCCTCTGCAGGGCCTGGCTTCTGATGAGGTACTCTGCGAAATGGTAGGTCAGCTCGCTGGGTTTCCCCATCAGCGCCTCGTACTTCAGGTCTTGACCCGTTATCTTCTTGTAGATGTTCTCCAGGCACACGAGGAAGGTCCCATGGCCGAACCTGAACCAGACGAGGATACATTTTTTTTTTTTTAGGGTTGGCAGCGACAAGAGCCTCCGGCCGCTAATGTTACCAACAAAAAGAAAGCCCTCCCGTCGGAGCCGTCCGTGGTTACCGGGGAGAGTGCGCCTCGGCCATCCACATGAGGTCCATGTTGCAGGCCAGCAGGGGGATGTGAGGCGTCTTCCGGGTCTGGTGAACACTGCTGAGGTTTCCGTTGGTCAACAAAATGTCGACGATGAGCTGCAGGTTGGTCTCCCATCGGATCGGCTCCCCGAACAGGATCACGGCTGCGTGTGTGGATACGAAGGAGATCAAACGTCTGCCCGTCTAATCATCTGAACAAAGCGACGCCACCCGAGAGGTGCTAAGAGGTTCACGTTCTCACCTTCGACCTTAGGAAGGTTGCCCACGGGACTGGACTGCAAGGAAAGGAAGAGCCACTAAACACGTGCCGCTCTGCATGACCAAGGAACAGTGGGACTTTTATGCATCAGTGACTGTAACGCAGTTCAATATCTCACCGGCAGTTTGGGCCTCCTGTTGTGATCCACCATGTCCATCAACGGGAAGGACTCCCTCAGCATGTCAACACTGACGACGTTGTTAAAGCCCACGCTGAGGACGAGAGGGTCAAGGACAAAACGCGGAGTGTTGTGATCGCCTCGTTGGGGGCGAACCCGAAACAGACAACAGAACAACGCAAGATTCCGGGATACTTTTTTGCAATTTCCAGGACGGGCCCCTGTCCTGACACCAGCACACACTTGTCGTGGAACTTCTTGAACATCCTCAGGGGACTGTGGGACAGGATGACTTGATCTTGTGTAATCTGGAAACAGTGTTAGGAGGTTAAGAGCAGAGGGGACAGCGGAGACAATATGAACCCTTCCCCCCGATAAACACACACACACACTCACAGGTACTCCAAGAATGTGAGCGAGCTGGTCTGCTTTAGTTTGTCTCAGGCAGTTCCCCGCGTTTGTGACAAAAACCACCGGCACCACAAACCGTCCCTGAGAGTCGACCAGCTTCTCGAAGGCCTTCTTCGCCGCAGGGATCGGCTGCTTCCCCCGGACGAGCACGCCGTCGATGTCGAACAGCAGCCCGAAGCGAGGCTGCGGCTACAGGGGATAAATGAAACCTCATGGAAGTCTGTGGACATCGCCTCAACACGCCGCAGTGACTTTCTAATACCATCGAAGTGACGCCAGAGTGAAATAATATGGGGCTTTAATTATTTTTTGGCGACATACAGACACAAGAAATAGCGAGAATCTTATTGTGACACAGCCAGATTTAAATATGTATAATTTATATATTTATAAATATATATGCATGTATAACGTTGAATACGATGGAATATAATCTGAAATGTATCCAACAGATATGTAAAAGGCCTCGATGTTTTTGCACTTACTGGGGCAGAAAAACAATGTATCTGCGATTGTTTTTCTCGGGGGTGGGGTGATTGGGGGGGGTAGGGGGGGGGGATCACAGTAGGCTACATCAGCTCTTGCCCCTGATGTCAGATACCCTGACGTATGCAAAGTTGCATGCAACACTGTATGCAACGTCACGTTGATACACAGTAACAAAAAGCTGTTTTTTTTTAAAAAAGGGGAAGAAAAAAAAGATCAAGCAGCAGCTACAAAGTATCGCCTCGTCAACAACGCGTCGTTAGAGGCGCAGCAGCAACAGCGCGAACCGTACCTTGCTGTTAGACCGAGTTCCGCAAAACCCGCACCGAGAACCGACAGCCCCAGCTTTGCGTCTGGCTTGACGGTTACTCAGGGTGCACAAGTCCCGGTAAAGCGGCAGGAGTCCCCTCATCTCCTCTATCACCGGTTCAAACAGAGAGAAAAAAAAAGAGAACCGAACATGTACGTATTAAAATCGGGCCGGCACGAAGCGGGAGCCGGCTCGGTCCGGCCGCGCTGGCAGTTGCTGATCAGCTTGTTGGGTTTTTTTTTTCCTCCTCTTCTTCTCGCCTAAAATTTGACTGGGCGAGAAAGCGATGACGACACCCGAGGAGTGGGCGGGGCTTCTGCTGCATTTCTGCCGGAAGGACGCGCGGGGCTACATCTGCAGTGCAACCCCCGCTGCCATTTTAGAGACCGAGGTGGAGCGTGAGTGTTTCTTCTTCTCCCCTCAACACGCACGAGCTTCCCGATGGACCGACAGAAGCGCACGAGCGCCACTCTGATTCTTATCGCCGCTCTTCAACAACACCCGTATTCCGCACTCATGACGTAGTCATGCAGCGGGAAGTGCAACGCGAACGCGCGTTAACTCTCCATTTTGCTCCGCGCACTCAACTTGAGGACTGAGTAGCTCGTGCACGGTGTCACGTGCTGCCCTCGCGAGCCCCAGGGTGGCAAAAAAAAGATGCTGCAGAGAACCAAGAGTAGATTGGCAGGGAAACCATCTCAGCCTTTTAAATAAGCATCACAGTCCTTCCCGTCCAACAGGCTGGAAACAGCAGTGATTGTGACAGATGCACGGGGCTGACACTCTGCTGCAGATGTTTTAGCAACGTTATTGACTCTTCTGCAGCTCATTGTCACATCATTATTAGCGGTAGGCAAGACTTGATTAAGATTGGCGAATGGACAAATGTGTGTAGAAGAAATTGAATCACACGACAAGTCCTCCCCGTGCTCCTCCAGCTTTATTGATAGTTTAAAATTACATTTCTATTTTCTAGGACTTCAGTTGCACTTTCCTTCCGACTTAAAAACTGAGTACAAGCAAATGGTATTTATACAGTAGTCTAAGTGATATTGTACAAAAATAACATTTTGATTTCTGTGAAAACATTTCTTTCCCAAATAACTCCTAATTCTGCTGTTCTGACAACTGCGCTTGATGTTAAATTTTACCAAGGTAAAAGAAAAAATCCAAAGCCATTTTGAAAAGGAAAAGTCTACCTTGGACTACCAAGTGATCATTAAGTTGTAAACAGATTCTATAAAAGAACGTATTTCTTTTAACAACTCCAATTTTTATTTATATCTTAGCAATATAACATGTAGTTTGTTATCGCCCACTTAACTGCTTGTAGGGCTGAAATGCATCATGTTATGAACGGTTTCCATGTCATACTCTCTTGGCCAACTCATATGCCACTAAAACAAACCAAAATAACCATACATGGAAGTTCTGTTTCCATTTACTCCCTTCTCTCATTTTACTGAGGCTCACTTCCACAAGCTCAGAGGTCCTATATATTCCCATGTTTAGTCCCATTCATCTCTGGTCACCAGTGGCTTGGAAAGGGGGGTTCTTTAACGAAGCATTATACATAACACCGCTACCAAACTAAAACATTTTTGTATTGAATGCAGAAAGATATTTTTTTCACCCCTTTCATTGTATTACATGTCGAGAGGCTCACTGGCCCGGGACTAGCCTCCGTTAGCCAACCTTTGGCCAGTGAAGAGGATTCAGAGAAAATAATACAACCAACCATCAATCTGAAAAAAGGAGGGGCAACAGAGGGCACTGATTATGCGCTGCCTTCATTGGTGCAATCTTTCGCCAGGTGGCCCGCATTTCCGCAGTTGTAGCAGTTAGTCTCGCTGGTTTTAGCGCAATGCAGAGCAACGTGGCCGATGTCGCCACACCTAGGCATGACAAGAGTAAAGCGTAAATGGTTAGCTTACGTGCATGTGACTGCAACAAAATATAAACAGTGCCGCAATGATTCAATTCTGTAACGACACAAGACGAGGATTTTAAAGTCAGCTCTCACCTGTAACATTTCACCTTGTCACAGACTTTCTGGATGTGACCAGTTCCACCACAGGTGTAGCACTTCTGGTTGTGTGCATGGTCACAGTCGCGGGCCATGTGCCCGGCTTTGCTGCAGATGTAGCAGAGCTGCTCCCTCTCCTTTTTGGGCTCCTTGCAATCCCGGGAAATATGGCCACTCCTGTGGCAGTTGTAGCACGCTGTTCAGGGAAAGAACATAGAAAAATGAATTACTGTCACAAGAAAAAGTTATTTGTAAACACATAGTAAATCTTAGATACTATACTGTGGTGTACCATTGAAATAAAAATGTAATTACTTCTGTAACTGCGGTGTAAGAAAACACCGCTTCACATCAACTAACTAGAACTCAAATGGAAGAATTAGAACTGCAATGCACACCATCCTCAGTTTGGTCACAGTCCCTGGCCATGTGTCCTTGGTCTCCACACCGATAACAGAAGAGCTCTGTAACAGACGGATTGGAAAATGCAAAGATGAAAGGCAGGGTTACAGTCTATGGCTTCCAGGTGTTTATTCACACAAGAAACACGTTGCAATGACAATGTTGTACTACGACATCTGCAACCTCACGACAGTGAATAAAAAACGTTAAATGTGGTTAAAAAATGTTAGCGCCAGGTTATCGTGGTTATCATCCTATGCTGGGTGCCCAAAGTAGTAGATTGTATCCTTACCTCGTCCTCTACCCTTGCCGCGTCCTCCACCACCACCACCACGTTGACCACTGGAACCATTAGGGCAATGCTTGGCCCAGTGCCCTGAGCGGCCACATTGATAGCACTCACTGCTGCTGCTCATGTCCATTTCCTAAACAAAAACATGAAACATCAGTTATCAAAAGAAAAAGCTATAGGCTCTATTAAAACCACACAGTATTTACAGGCATAACACAGAAAAGCATGTTAATCATTTTATGCAAATGCAGGGAAAGACTTGAGAATACAAGCGCTAGTTTGTATATTTTTACATTTTGGCTCAAAAGGGTTTAGAAAACAGGCCTCCAACAATTAAGCTTCTTAGTATGCCATTACAATCTAAAAGCACACACACAATACTCTGGTCACTAATACATACTTACACAATGTGCTTGAGCTCTACAACACATTTAGCCACTTGTCAAAGGTGGTGTGAGACCATGTTGATCAATGAGTCTTAAGTTTTAACCAATGCAGCTGTTACGGCTGGGTCAAAACTATAATTGGAAAGTTGATGCCAGCTTTTCACCAGGATGCCCCGTGTATTTGAGCTGCCACCTCACAAATGACCCAATCATGTGCATAATTGCATAGGGTTGGGTTCTTTCTTTTACACTACTATGCTTTTAATATTGATCCATGACTGACCGCTACCATGACTAATGTTACCACGGGGATCTAATCTATGATAATATATATTTTTTTAAAAAAAAGGTGTTTATTTTTTAGCTGTGGTTTCTACATGTGGCCATGAGACTACAACTAAACTACCCGGCTAACTTACACGATTGCCTCAATGGAATCATGTTGAGATCGGCCAAACTCCTGTTTGCTGACGGTGCTAAAGACATCAAGTCGGGAAGAATGTGAGTTAATGAGTAACAAACTCTACTATGAATGAGACTCCAGAAAACGAGGTGATTGGATATAGATTTTACAGCTACGAGAAGCCTGCAAAGGCGAACTTGTTGCTCACACGTTAGTGGTCGCGCAAGCGTTCGCTGGGCCTCAACTTTTGGTTTACATAATACCCTTAAAAAATGAAAGGGAATAAATAATGCATCGGCCATGGCGACCAAAGACGTCGCTACCCGGTGATTAACGTCAGTTTGGTTTACATATTATGCGATCATTTGAAGTGTGGACGGTGGTACAAACCAGCCACTTAATGAGTTACCGGAGAAATGGGCATGAAAGCATGCCGTGGGTTGCGCGCTACACTGGGAAGCTAGCTCCAGCCCCCATCACATTGTCATGATAAACATCGGATAAAAGCGCAGCCCGTACAGAGAAAAGAGTAAGAGTCCCTCGACTGGCTAAAAGGATAAACTGCGGGGAATACAGTCCACGTAAGTAAAATAAGACCGTTGAAACGCCAAAAGGCTGAAGCTGCGCTAACGTCGGCCTAGTCACGTTGAATTCCCTGCGTGCTCGCGAGACAGAAGGAGGTGCTGCTGCTGCTGCTAGCTAGCTAGCACATGTTAGCATACCGCCTCACGACCAGAGAAAGAACGGTTCAGTCGACGGCCGGGCGTCATTCTGCGGCGAAGAACGCGCGGGATCGGCAGTTTCCACGACTACGGTTCGCCGCAAAACTGTTTTTGACGGCTATTCGACTGAATAAGTCATTAAAAACACGTTTTTCCCGCGCGGCGCAGACAGCTAAGACGTTGTGACGAGCTAACGGCTAGCAGGCCGGACTGGAACCCCGCTGCACCGTTATCAGACCGTTATTCCACAAAGGAAAATCAAATAGTTTGCAATTTCGGCTTTTATCACTATTAACACCGTGTCCTTGAGTCCACGCACATAACACATATGTCGATAGATCAATTTTTGTGCCGTTTTATTGCTTACCTCGCTGGCTACCTTAGCTCTGTCAGTGTTTACGCCTCCTTCTTTGCGCTACATGCGGTGTGAACAGGAGTTCCTGAATTGTCATTCACGGTAACCTGTAGAAAAACCCGGACATTCATTGGTCGCAGGCCCTGCTAGCAACCAATCAGGCACCAGGATGTGTGGACACCGCCTCTATGAATCAGCCAATCACGTGCACGGAAGAGTCCTTTTCCTTAAATCGACTGGTCTTATTTTTCTCATTTCTTGAAATCATATGGGCATGTTATGTGTTGATACTGCACGTGCAAATGAAAATGTTCAGCGATACTAACACATATCACATATCTAAGGACAATAAGATGGATACAGTAGATATAATGCAGACAATTGATTAAACAAATTTAGATATAAGTGGATTTATGGAATCTGGTGCGCTACAGTTGTACGGTGTTCACTAACCCTGTACATCGTGCTTTCCCAATAAATCTATGGTAATATTTAATTTAATTACAGTGGTATGTGCCACAAACAGCTTTATCTACAGAGCTACAGCTCTAAGCAAGTAGTTAAATTTAAATGTCTGTATCTGGTCTTAAATAAATACGACTGTGGTCGTTCATAAATCTACACGGAAGATTAAAATGTTTTTCTGACTTTAAAGTAACGAGCAAAATCACCATTTTTTTACAATGATTAACAAAAGACAAGGCCCCACATCCCTAGTGATGATGGCAGTATTTAGATGAACAATAATTGGATGTATAATAGGTACATTTAAATCACTGTGAAATGACCTTTTATAGACTGTTTGTTTTTTGATGGGCCCAAAGTTAAACAAACTGACAAAAAAAACAAAATCTGGAACAACAAAGTCTTGTTACTTGTCACTTGTTTCTTTTTCCCCCGTCTCTTGTTTGCACTTTAACCCACGTCACTGTATGTAAATCCTGTCAAGGATTATCTTATCTTAAAAACAAAAATAGAATTAGACGAAGAGCGTAAATAGGCCTACAATAATCCATGATAAGAACAACTTTGTACGTGTGTTTGGACTGTAACGCTGACCCTCCTTGCTGAAGGAGTCCTGATTGCATCATGATTTGAACACAAGTGGACGGATGGAGACAATATTCCATGGCAGTTGTAAGCATCTCAGCTAACTGGCCTGAGTGCTCAGTCGGATCAATAAGTGGGAAAAGATGGGTTTATCTAAGTCTTAAGGTGGATCTCTGAGATTGCAAATATTATTTCCAGTGGACTTCATTCTGCAGCTCATAGCCCTTTGTACAAAACAGGGGGAATATCCAAGCCTGCTTTGCACAAATTTGAATAGATTAAAAGATGTACTGCTAATATAACCCAGTCCCACTGAAATCCAGCGGTGCTTTTGCATGCATTGTGGAGTACCTTAAAACGCCCCACGATGACAAAGCCCTGCCTTCGACCTCACAGAAACTGGATTTGGCATTTAGTTATTTGTCGGACGGAATATCTGTTTAAAAAATAGGGTTAAGTTGGACGGTTAGAATGAAAGTGAAATTGCTTTGGATGATTTGAATTTTTAGCTCAATTTGTGTGCTGCTGCTCAATGGAAACAATACGTGCTGAACCCATCACGAGGTGCTGACCGGGGTGTCGATGAAGCTGTTTTTATTCTCAGATGGCATCAACTCCAGCTGGATGAAAGGACCAAAGGTGCCATCTGGGAACCCACGATGCTCCAGAAGATGGTGAATTTTTTGAAAACCATTTAAAATCCACATCAACTAAAGAATGATGCATTTCTGGCCATTTGAAGGATAAGAAACTAATCCATCTTTAACCTTCAGATTTACCTTTTTTTCCTGGAGCCTACAGACCATTCCATAAGTTTCTTATTGACCAGATAATATAAAATCTACTATTGATATCAAGGTTTGGCCGCAATGTCCTCAAATCTCCAGATGGTGGTGCACTAGGAGTTAATAACGCATGACTCGTTCATTCTAAACCGGTAGTGGGACCATTCTTTTTTTTTTTTTTTCAATTTTCAAAAGATACTGTCGCAACTTTTATTTTAACAAACGTATATTTTTTTAAATAAAAACATTAACCTATCACACGCGTTAGACTTTGCGGGGAATAAAAACAGTAAGTTAGCGACGTGGTGTCCACGGCAAAGGACTTTAAACACAGTGTATACGCATGTCAAATATGCCAAATATATTACGGGTCCAACCCTTTGAAACGCGTGCAGAAGTAAAAGCGTTTGGAAGTGGGAGGGATTAAATGCGCGCCGTGTGCGCAGTGCAGCTCTTGTTATGACTGCGAGGTCCTGTTTCAATCACTGGCGTCGGACGGACGACAGCAACTCAAAAGCCGTTCGCCTTCTCCCGAGCGACGTCAAAATGCCCTTTGGGGAAAGGAGAAAAAAGAAGCCACTTCTCGGAGTTTTAATTTGAAAGTGCCTCGCAGGGCTTTGAGAATTTCCCCCTGTGCTACTTTGAGGGTCCGACGGATTTTTTTCCCTCTCCCTCTCAGCACGATTCGCCACAATTTATATTTAAAGAACCCAAACCTTTCCTGTATTTGACGTGGTGGCTCGTGGAAATAGACCCGCCTATGACCTTCACGTCTTAACGTTGTTTCCAAATTTCACCGGGATCCGCCATTATTTGATACATTCACACGCGGTGCGCAACATTTTCGACTCTTTTTTTGTCTTTCCCGTTTTTCTTTGAATGCGTTGCAAATATGATGATGTCACCGACGCCACTTTTCCCCGAAGTTATGGCGGAGCACAACTTCTCTAACTTCTCTTGGTAAGCACACAAACACACACGCACGCACGCACACGCACACACAGCTTTCTGGCTCCAAACAATAGTTTAATAGAAAAGAGTGAAATGGTGAAGGGGCTCCTGCGCGAGCGCGCGACCACGACACGCATCGCCAGTGGGATTTGAATGGGGCGAGTTGGGCGCTGCGGGGCCTACACGGGAACCTCTAGCAGCAATGACTGGATCTACTCGGCCGGATCCCCCCCCCCCAAAAAAACAACTAAAAGTCACCGTGTGGACCACGCACGCATTTCAGCAGGAGCGATTTTCCCAGCAGCCCCCCCGCGGTCAGCGAGAAGCTGGATTCAATCCGAACCCAACGAAGGGGTCTTGCTTCAGCGGGCCTCTCGCTTTAAACACCCCCCCCCCCCACCAAAAAAAAGAGAGTGACCTGCTGACACCGATCTTCTCCTAAAAGCTGACGACCTGTTTGCAGAGCTAAGCAGATGGCAATCTTAATAATTCCGCACCTCCTTTCTTTCTCTACGGTCTGTTTAAACTCGACGTCAATACTTTTTTCATGGATACATCGGGTCATTTGTTTTGAACACAATTCGGAGTGCAGCAATGTTCCTGCTGCTTCTTGTGATGATGACACACGGCTGTGTCCGATGTGACAGCTAACCGCTAAGCCGGCTGTCAATCATCTCCCTGTGTCGACGGGCCTTTTGTGTTGACACACCTGAGTTCACACTTTCACTGGTGAAGTATTCACACTGAAAAGGAAGAATCTGCAAGACGTGTATCTGTTCCGTTTAACTGCAGCTTCACTGATTCATGTGTATTGGGAAAACAAAGCGTGACAACACGACTCCTCTGTGGTCACAGATTCTCCTGGTCTGACTGGATTTGTAGGTCTATGTTGTCCTGGAGCCATTTAAAGTTGTATACCCCCCACCCCCCCACCCAAAATCCATCGTCCCAAAAAGTACTACATTAGTGTCACGGTGGAGTTATTCAGGGCATGCATGTTCTTTCTGCCTTCCCCTTCGTGTCACACATCTGGAGGGTTTTGGTGACAGGCAGAACGCTGCAGCGGCCCTGATCGCTTGCAGGGGGGTTGTTGCACTAAGGGGAGATTATGTTTTAGAGATTGCGTCAAGGAACTTCTCAATGCCACAACCCAAACCCATCGTTTGGTTTTTTCCCGTCAGTAAAAAAAAAAAAAAAAAAAAACTCACCAGTGGAATTCGTTGCGACCCGACGTCAGCCTTTTTTTCTTTTTCCAGTGGGACAAAAAAATGAATGACATTTAAAGCCGCTTTTACATTAAACATTAAGGGTTTGATTCTTAAAAAGATGTTTGATCATTATTTAAATTGAGGAAGATGACGAAAAGGACTGAAATACTTTTCTCTCACATGAACAAACTTAACCTCATTTCTACGGACTTGAGTTTTGACATCAACAAAATCCTCTCAAAGAGCAAAGAGAACTTAAGAAACGTCCATTAAGTCGTCGGTTCCTTATTAGAGCCTTAAAGCATTTGGCCAGCGACTCATGCGTGGGCTTATGTTTTTTTTTATTTCCCCCTCCAGACCACTGAGTGCACTTGGCTTTACTAATGGAGCACCTCCAGGGAGCGTGGAAGACCCTGAGCAACGGCTTCGGAATGAAGGACACCGCCTTCGAGGGCCCGTGCCTCTCGCCGACCTTGGTCCAGGGCTTCTCCTGCCAGCGCCGCTCCTCCGACGACGGCAAGATGCCCGACTCCAAGACCAGCAGCACCATCCGCGTCTACCTCCCGAACCAGCAGCGCACTGTGGTCAGTGGATTCCTTCTTCTTTCCCCCCCCCCCCTGTATGTATGAGACGCCATGTTGGTTAGCGGACATCCAGTAAAGCTGCACAAGTACCAGTTAACTGAAGGCCTACGGAGAACTTCACTTGTTGTCGTGGTGGTTGTTGTGCCTCAGGTGAACGTACGACCAGGTATGACTCTGTACAGTTGCCTGATTAAAGCATTAAAGGTGAGAGGTCTGCAACCGCAGTGCTGCGCCGTCTTCAGGCTGCATCCGGGACAGAGGAGGTGAGCTCAGGACTGTCTTCCCAAAACCAAATCCTGCCCCCCCTCTCTGCAGCCATCGCGCTGGCTTTTGATTTTCTTTCAGGTCACCTCCTTTGTTTTGTTTTTTCCTTTGTTTTTTCAGTAAAAAATCTCGGATGGATTGGAACACCGACTCCGCTTCCCTGATCGGAGAAGAGCTGCTGGTGGAGGTTTTGGATCACGTTCCCTTGACGACGCACAATTTTGTGAGTACCCAGACGCGTCGAGTCACCGCGTTGGCGTCGCTGCTAAAGAAACATCTTGTACGATTTTTAATTT